AAGAAAGACAAATAAAGAGATAATATTGATGATATGGAATTAGTTGACGTACTGAATTTTAAAATTACATACGTCGTATCATTTTTCATAGCTTATTATAAAGATCTAGAAATTTGAATTTAAATAAAACATCTACCATTATATAAATTTTCAGAAACCAGGGTCGTCATTTGATCATACAGTTGAGTATATTGCGTTTAGTTTATCGTAGAAAATTGTAGATACGGCAATTTTTATGTCGACTCGTCGTGGAGATAGAAAGAGAGAGAGAGAGAGAGAGAGAGAGAGAGAGAGAGAGAGAGAGAGAGAGAGAGAGAGAGAGAGAGAGAGAGAGAGAGAGAGAGAGAGAGAGAGAGAGAGAGAGAGAGAGAGAGAGAGAGAGAGAGAGAGAGAGAGAGAGAGAGAGAGAGAGAGAGAGAGAGAGAGAGAGAGAGAGAGAGAGAGAGAGAGAGAGAGAGAGAGAGAGAGAGAGAGAGAGAGAGAGAGAGAGAGAGAGAGAGAGAGAGAGAGAGAGAGAGAGAGAGAGAGAGAGAGAGAGAGAGAAAGATAGAGAGAAGTGTCCCTATCAATATTCACCGCGAGACCTTGGGAAACACGGTGGAACGTTCTTTGGTCGTGTCCAGAGGTAAAAGTAATCGATCGCGACGCCTGCAGACTCGCGCAGCAGAACTGCAGACCTGCATGCCGGGCTGCATAAGAGTAGGCGTGACTCAAGCAGCTTTAAATCCAAACTACGCCAGTATATGCTGTAATCATGGAGAAAAGTGTTTCAGCGGTTCAGAAATCGAGTTCGTCGATCGAAGCTACAGCAGATTTTTTACATGTAGAAAGACTACGGTTAATTTCACATTTTTCAAGCTGTAGTTACCACTTTCGAATACTGATATCATCGTTAGTCGTCGTGAAATCACTAGTCTTTTTAATAGAACTATACACCATTTTCTAAACAGATGAATATTAATGGAATTTGTTAAAAGTTTTCAAAGACATTCGAAATGAAGTTTTCTTTAAAATGGCAGTTGGGAAATAAAAATATCCTGTTTCTCATTTAACGCTTTCAACACTGTAACTGATGTAGCCAAAGATTGATATTTTTCTTAAATAACAACTGATAAATAAACCAATTCTTTTAGTAATTTAACACCCTCTGGACTGTAATTAATTCAAACTCTGATATCAATTTGATCGTTGTAATATACAATTAATAATCCTTTCGGGTATCTGTAGCATCTTTAAAAACAATAGTGTTAATGGAGTTTATTGAAAGAAGTTAGGAGTAAAATTTTCTCTTAACATTAAGAATTAATTGAACTCTTTTTACATTGTTATTAATATTTTTTAAAAGCGATATCAATTTAATTGTAGTAAAATATAAATACTAGATCTTGTAGTTAACGTTTTGTAAAAAGATTAGTATTACATAATAATATTTTTAAAATTGATTCCAAGTGAAATTTAAGCAATAATATTACATAATAATAATAATGTAATAATAACGACATTATTATTATTATTCATAATAATAATATAAATATATTATAATAATAATACAGAAACAAATAGTACAAATATACCAATAAATTTATTGATTTCTTTTTTCTTTCGTCACTTGTATTGAAGTTATCTAACAGCTGTTGCGTAAACGAAAACTTCGGCTTTGGGTAAATTATATAAATCTTTTACCATTGATTTAACAAAAGTGTTCACAATTATTGGTTTATTTGAATTATTAAACTCAAAATTTGGTTCGATTTTTATCGATTGTTAAGTTTAAATCAATTTGAATACAAAATTCATATATGAAATTAACAAAAAATAGTGCAAGTAATTTATCATAAAAATCCTTTAATACCTTTAATACCTTGGAAATTTTATCCTATTTATAAGGCAGTAAAATTTCCTAAAGTATTATTCAGAAAAAACTATTAATAATTTGTTTTCATTAGTTTTGTAGTTCACTAGTTATTTTTCTTAAAATGTTAGATACACAATAGAGATGTAAAAAAAAAAAAAATAATTAATCATTCTATACACATGTTTCAAAGGCTGCACAACATTATACAAATGTTTTGTTTACAATTTCATAAATAATGATATAACAGATCAAATTACAAAGAGGATTTATCTTCATTTCAAGTTGTATACATGAAACGTCTCTCTTTTTCACTCGTTTTGTCACGCTTGACATAAATTATATTTCATAACCAACAACGTAACCAACGTCATAAGATTTTAACAAGTAAAATATATTGGAAATATAAATAGTATATATAAAATGTAATATAAACAAAAATATATAAAAAGAAAAATACAATGCTAGTTAAAATCACCGATGTATGCAAGAATTTAAAATATTACAATAAAATTCTGCAAAGTGTAAAAACTACACTGTTGTAAAAAATCAAAATTTCAGAGAAAGAACACGCCAAACCATATTATCCATTTTTTTTAAAAGATGCAACTTCAAATTTTTATATATTGTTACATTATCGATCAAATCATCTTACAAATATCCTTTCCTTTTTGGTTTTGGGACTAAACATACATTTTTCCAGCCTCTTCATAACGTTTGAAATACTGCTTGCCATAATATTCGCATATTACTTGTTTCAACAGTTATATCTTTGCCTTCTACGAAACTCTGTCAATCATATTTTTAAACCTGACTGATTCCTCCAATTTCTAACTATTTTAATTCTAACTATTTTAAACTAAATGACATTACCACCTAATGACAAGATCCGCAATCTCTTAGTTGCCAACCCAATAGTAACGAACAACGATAAACACATACACTAGGTATATGCATGCGCTAGACTTTCTTATAAAATGCTGAGTAAATTCGTAAAACATACGATGCCTTATTTAATTCTTTGGTAAAATAACTTTCCATTCTAAAGTATAAAACTAAATGATAAAAGATACTTGTATATTGAACTGTTTTTATAGAAACGTAATGTTTCAATTACTATAAAATCGATACAAGAAACAATTCTAGGACTGTCTCGGAAATAACAAAGTTTTGTAAATAATTAATCTAGAAACAATGTGCATAAGAACCAAAATAGAAATCCCTTACAAGATTTTATAGAAACAGAAATTCCTTACAAGAATTACTTAGAATAGAAGTTTATATAGAATATCGTAAAACCACTTTTTATATTTTAGAAAAAAGTTAAACAAACAGTATAAAAGTTTACAAAACAAGTCAATCTGTGCCAACACTTTCATTGATCATTATAAACGCATAACTAATCGTACGAAAGACATCTACCACGACATAAATATTATGGTTTATACAATATATCAAAATCCCCTTTTAGTCATAAAGTGACATTAAAATCAGGAAATCAACAAAAATGTACTTATCATGTTTTTCTCCTTCTTCTTTAATCTTCAAATTTCTTTCAAATTTTTCATAATATAAATTATAAATTATACAAGCTAATTTGCAATCTATGTATTTATAAATTTCTCATCATTTTTATCTTCAGTTAAGCTAATTCCAAAAGCTAATTTCCAGTTGTAATAGAAAATCGAGTCCCTAGCGAAACAACTTCTCGCTTTTTCTAATTAGATCGAACCCTTAATTCGTCTACCGAGGATCTCAAATAACAAGTCGGAGCAATTTCCAAACCCCTGGTGATCGCATCCGCAGCGACCAGCTCCAACTGGTTAGCTACAGTTACCTGATAGCGCAGCAACTTTCCTTGTAAATGCTTGTCAGCTTAAATTACCGTACAAAGATTAATTTCTCGAAACACGTGAATCGCCGTAGCCGTTGCGACATGCGGCAGAGAAATTTCACTTCTATTTCGGATTTGTGGCACACCCTTAGCCCCGACGTATTCAACGCATAGAGGGCGACCAAAGCGATCGGTTCGCATGTTTCGAATTCCGTACGAGATGTTCCGATGCGGCGAACACTCGCACCTCGTCAACGTCTAATTTTAACGATCGCGCAATTCGAAATTCCGTTTAATGTGCATGTGGTATGAGAGAAGAAAAGCAGAAAAAGCGCCTTCGCTTTTTATTTAACCGATTTTTATCGACAATCTGATAAAATAACGAATTGATATTAAAGTTATTATTCTATAGGAACCTTCAACTTTTTATACAGAAAAAATAAATAACATACGATAAAATATGATTTTTGTTGATTCGTTGATTTTTATGTCGCTCGATGGTTAAGAAGAAATATTTTAATATGAAAAAATGAAAAAAACGGGAATAACCTGATACAAGCTCTCTCTCTCTCTCTCTCTCTCTCTCTCTCTCTCTCTCTCTCTCTCTCTCTCTCTCTCTCTCTCTCTCTCTCTCTCTCTCTCTCTCTCTCTCTCTCTCTCTCTCTCTCTCTCTCTCTCTCTCTCTCTCTCTCTCTCTCTGCTAATGTTATTTATATTTTTTAAATGTTCAAGAGGGTGAAAAAATACGAGATTTAATCCCAGAATAAAATAAAAAGATAAAGATAAAATAAAAAGATAAAAGGAAATGTGACTTATGATGTTTTTTACTTGTGGCTTTCAAATATTAAGAATTGCGCTTCGTACGATGATATTCAAGATGGAAAATTTATGATATTATATTTGACAACATAGCCGTCTTTTGTTTAATTATTATAGAATTACTCAATGTGGTATTGACGCTAGAAACAGATACAGGTAAAACAGGTAAAAATTTAGTATGACTTTCCTTGTTGCATCTATATTTCTTTCATTTACAATAATTTACATACCATAATTTTCTACTAATTATTGTTATATATTTATTGGAAATTAATACCAGAAATATCACACGTATAATGATAATTTTCTTTTACTCTTTTTCTTTTACTTTTATAGGTAACATGTATACAATTAGTAATTAAAAATTAAAAAGTACAATTTTTGTAGTAGCCACATCCTTACTTTCATGACACAAATCTTTTAAATAGCGAAGCTATTTTAAGACATTGAATTATCATGAACATTAAATTATCCTTAAAACAATGTTTTCAAAAGTGATATCAGAAATATCGTAGAATTTACTAAATTAATTTTTTGAAAGTTATTTTATGCTTATAAATAATTAAGTAATTTTAAATACTTTTTTGTCAGAATTTTTCGATACATAATTTGAGTTTTATTACAGGAATCATTATATAATAATGTGCGATTAGAATGTCAAATGACCATTGTATCGCCAAGAGCGATCAACATTTTTCTTTCCAGGCTTTGTTTTCGAGAAAATCGACTTTGAATTTTCGCTCGGTGAGCGTGCACTTTATCGCGTCTCGTTATAACGGATCTCACTGTAGATCGTTGTCTCGATGGAAAAATTAAAAAAGAAAATTTTCGACTTCTTTTTTCGCCTAGAATCACTCCCTTTCCGCTTGTACCACCAGTTACCAACCACTCTGTATAATATAAAATATATGCAAATAAGTGATAGTCGATTTCTTATAATTGGTGTTGAATGTACTCTTTTTAAGTATATGTAGTCCCTTAATAGCAAATACTAAAGATTGATAACTTGTACCAATAATTACTATATTTGCACGAAAGATATGCATTACATTGAAGAAATTACAGTTTTTCAATTTGGCATGCATTTGACGTTAAAAGAATACAATGGAATACAAAGAACATTTGATATAATAATAATTTGAAAATTAAAGGATGGTATTTCATAAATAATACATTTTAGTTTCATGTATCTATCGTAATAAATCATTGGCATAAATATTTTTCATCGAAAAGTAACAGGAGAGCAGAGACGAAACCATACGAATCGAATATAATTTAATTTTGGACAGAACCTTCAAATTGTACGATTCATGTGTTTTTCATACACACAAGTATTAATTTCTATTTATTTTGGGAGAACTAAATTAAACAAGACATTTATAAATTGACAATTTTCAGTTGTTTAAAATTAATAGCATGTAATAGAGTCTGCTTGAAGTACTTAAAATTTATAACGAAAAAACACACATCTAACGAAGCCATAGGTTTTGAATTTTATAAAACTTCCGTTTCTTTCGAAACTGTCTATCAGTAAAAATACAGATTAGTCAGACTTTTCTATCTTTCTTATATGTTGTTATCATTTCCGATTTATAATTAACTGTTCATAACTAACAAAATTATTTTTTCTCACAGGCTGACAACAAACTCGATATTGAAAAGACTAACTACATATATTTTTTTTATATTCTAACTAATTAAGAATACATTTATCAGAAATGTATCATTCGATATCAATCGCGTTTTAAAATGCAATAAAAATCTCAACGTTCTTTCGCAGAGTCAAGAAACTGATTGTACCGTGTAGACTATTCTTCATAACCCTAACAGTGTTAAGCAACGCGAGCTGCATAATAAGGGCGACAATCTACGTTCCTGATTCGGGTCATACAAACCGCTATTAAATAAGCAATGCGAGTCAACGATGACTAGATCAACGTAATCAGTATTCATTGCCTATGTTTCAAAAGATATGACTATAACCAGCATAGAGTTATATAACAAACCCGACAAATTCGGAATTAAATTTTGGTTAGCATCCGATGTTCAAACAAAGTATGTTGTAAATAGATTTCCTTATTTAGGAAAAAGCGAAAAGGACCTACCTGAAACGGTGGAATTTTATAATAAAACAAAATTTGGGATAGATATAGCAGACAAAATGGGAAAAAAATATAGCGTGAAGTCGGGATCAAGAAGATGGCCACTTCAAGCATTTTTTAATATTTTAGATTTAGCTGGTATAATTGCCTGGATTTTAGATAAAAAAAAAGCACATGTGAGCAGATATCCAGAAAAGATTTTATGTTTCAATTAGCAGACTAGCTTGCCGCTGACAATGAAAAATCACGAATAGAACATCATAGAGCATCTGAGATCCGAACTCACCTTATTCACGCAAATGGTGTCACATGGGGTACTGTAATAATGATAAGACCACCACCAGTTGCAATCTTTGTAAAAAAATATGTATGCGGAAAATGCAGGCAGAAGAACGTTTACGTTTGTACGAAGTGTGATGAATGAGAAATTCTGTACCTAATAATGTAAGTTATATTTGTATTTTATTTATTCTATTACGCTTATTACTCTTATTATTATATTATTATATTATACTTCTTATATTTACCAATGGAAATTTATTTTAACATTCTTGTTACCAAAGGTTACCAAAAGTTTTGGTACAAAATATTCTTCATTGTTGTACTTATTGTTATTATTAAAGTTGTTTTTATGATCTCATAACATGGACTTCCTTTTGTAAGATAATAATAAATCAATAAATATAAAAATATTCTACTATTACGTATTTTTTAAAGACCAGTCATTTCGACTGGCTTTGGTAGAGATAGCTACGTCTCAAATACCGGTAATTCTAGTGTTAAAAAACACGGCAAAAACTATTAGAGACAACCTTCGATCTCTTCAGGTGATTGCGATAAATATAGCGATCACGCGTTCCTTGGAACTCGTTTGTTTTAAACGAAGCGATTTATTGCGTAGCTTCTATGTAAATTGTCTGTTTCGGAAGTTCTGTCAGGTAAACATTTCGATCTAAATTTTCTAAATTGGTTCAATCAATAAACCGTGTATACAGGGAGTTACCTAACAGTAGAAATAAACTGAAATATTTGTTCAGAAAAATATTAGGTTGGTACGATCATTAGTTTCTACATGTAAAGTTGGTACGACTTCTAACGACGCTCTTTTGTTTTTGGCGTCCGCCACGGGTTAATTGCCTCAGTGTATCCGATGTGTTCATATGGTTGTACATGGTGGTGAAATACAGAATATAAAAACCGAATCTATGTGAATTAATTAAATATCCAACTCCAAAACCTATTTAACAACGATATTTCTGATAATATTATACAATTATATCGGAAAGTAACTAACGATATTAGTTTTTCTGTAGATAGGAGCGTGAATGTTATTATCAGATTGCTAATTTTTATGTAAATTTCATCTACTAATTTTTACTGCCTACTAATTTATCTAGTAAAGATTATGACGAGTACTCCGCTTTAAAAATATGTATTTTTACATTGAATTTCGTCTAAATGCATTAAAATCCAAAGTCTACTAGTCGCTATTACACGAGGCGTGAAAAATTTGTAACTGTGCTATAAAACTGCTTTTAGTTAGATAAATGAAAAAGGAATGGAGGAATTTGAAAAAGATAGAGGCCGTATTAAGACACATGCAAAAATTGCATTTTAACACTTTCAATTTTAACAAAAAGTTATACATAGTATAATATTCTTTTTATTGGATAATCTCCGATTATCGAAATAATATTTGTATTTTTATTACAAATATTATTTTTTCATTTGCTCTTTATGACAGAGAAAACGATTAAGACCAAGAATTATTTTTGCAATATGAAGCTACACCGAAGAAGTTAACGAATGGATTTAATGGCATTAGTTAAAATGCTATGAAGTAGTAACTATTTCACGAATAATGTATTTACGTGTGATAATAAATATTCCAGGAACACTTTAATCATCTATAGGTGCTCTGAATTCTGACCGACTAATACATATTCTTGGATCTATTTCAGTTGAATTACAATGCCGTCATCGCCGAACATAAAAGCAATATGTAACCGCAACCTCTGAAATATAAAACTAGATATAATGTGCGCACTGCCTTTCAAGCTAGTCAATATAATAACAAGTTACATCGAATAACATTTTTACTGTACAAATGCAGCATTTAATGTGTTGAAAAAATATATGGCAGGCATTCCACCTTCTTATAAACAGTTAGATATAGGTACACGTATATTTTTAATTTCTAGCATTGTTTGTCATAATTTCATTAGTAATTTGAAAAGGAACTTTTATTGTTGTGACCGAAATAGATGCGCATCCTTAAATTATCAAACAGATGATCACCTAATTTATGGAAGACACTACTAGTACAAATACTTTCCAAAAGAATCTATAACATTGATAGTATCTGTTTACTTATTATATGTATTATGTATAATTATAAATAATATCCTATATTATGTATTTAATAAATTATTGTATTGACAATTTTTACCATAGTTTTCCAAATACATTCTTCCTTTATCTAATCATCTACACCAAAGGAAAATGTAAGAATTCCTGCTTTGGTTTTAATAAACTTTTAACCAAAAGATTAATTGCATAAACTTTTATCAAATATTTCTAATTAAGCTACGTTCCTCTATATAACGAAATTGTACAATTATCCAATAACTATACAACAACGATTATAAAATTTGCAATATATGAACAAATTTTAATCATTTGAAAAGATGTTTTAAATGTCTATTAAATCATACATAGGAGTATAAAAATTAATGTAAAAATTAATCTAAAATGTAAAGATACATTATTATTATATATTATAAGATACACTATATATTAAGATTCTTAACATAATTGACTTTCATGCAATAAAAAATTATGTTTAAAGTATCATTTTGCAAACAGAATAAGAAATAAGAATTTATTTCGCCAATCTCTCAATGTCGCGCTATGTCGACAATCGAGGTGTGTCGACGCATCCGACGTATCGTGATTTCGTGGCGCGTAACTTGTTCTTACTTCCGGTGTCGCCTAAGCAGAATTAAGGTCGATTTATACACAACCGTGCCGCGTCCGTTCCGTGACCGGGCGTTTATGCGTTAATATTTCTGCACGATCGTCCGCAACGTGCTCGGGATAAATGTGTCACTCAGTTGGAAATCAAACGTTATAAAAGAACATACAACAAAATGCCATTTTTAATGCCATTTTTACTCGAAGACTTACAGTTAGCTACGATAGTGATACTTCTGGATGAAGAAGAGGAGGAAGAAATAGAGCAACAAAGGAAGAGAAAACGATTTAACGTACATTATGTATGTTATGGGCAAAATCGAGAAGAAGGAAAATTTCGTCAGGAAGAGAAATTTCATGAATATTTCTGTGCATTCCGTAATTATTGATCCATAATTTTTAATCGCTGACGAAATGATTAATTCACCTTTT